TGTGGGTGGGTTAAGAGGTTTTTGTGGGGATTTTGGGGGGCACCTGTGGGTGCTGGAGGGGGGGCATGGGTACAGGAGCACCTGTGTGTGCTGGGGGGACGCTGCGGAGATGGGATGTACCCATCTGTGTTTGGGGGGCACCCACGGGTGCTTGGAACGTGTTGTGGGTGTGGGGAGTAGTCATGGGTGTGTCGGGGGGTCATATGAACATGGGGAGCACCTAAAGGTGTTGAGAAACCCCCAATATACATGGAACTATCTGCGGGTCTTGGGGGTGCTGTGAATACATGGAGCACCCACGGGTGCCAGATGGGTGCTCTGAACGTGGATGGCACCCGTGGGTGCTGGGGGGTTGCTGCACGTATAGAAACATGTGGAAGCATTGTCCCAGCACCCACGGGTGCTCCGGTTTTCCATCTCCTCCCCAGGGCCAGCACCCGTTTGGAGACAAGGCCAAGGAGCAGGAGCTGCTGGAGCAGCAGAAGAGGGTGAGGACGGGGGGGGGGGGCACCCACGGGTGCGGGGACAGGCATGGGGACATCGGTAGGGAGAAAAGGACGGGCTCAGGGACACCTATGGGTGCACGGACACCAGTGGGTGCAGGAACTGGTGAGGGGACACCCATGGGGTTGGGGACAGGGATGTTTTGCAGGCATGGGGGTGGGCGTGGGTGCCCCCATGGGTGCTCTCGTCACCCATGGGTGTTCCTGTCGTTCCCCCCCACCCCGGGTGCCCCCGCAGGCGGCGGTGCTGCTGGAGCAAGAGCGGCAGCAGGAGATGGCCAAGCTGGCGCCCGCAGTGCCCCGGCCCCCCCCTGACGTGGCACCCATGGGTGCCCGGGCTCCTCTGCCCCCCCGAGGTGAGTGTCACCAGCGTCATGGCCACCCCCAGGTGGGGGGGGATGGGACGCGACACCGCTGGTGGCCTGTCATCGTCCCCCCCGCCTTACAGCCCCACTTTGTCACCCCGCAGGCAGCACACCCATGGGTGCCCCCATATCTGGGGTGCCTATGGGTGCCCCCCGCCCTCGTGGGCCCCCACCGCCCCCTGGGGAGGAGAGCCGAGAGGTGGGTAAGGGGGAGTCTCTTGGGTTGTTTGTGGGGGGGTCTCCGGGCGCCTAGGTTCTTTGGGTGGGGGTCTTCCAGATGCTTTGGCAGGGGGATGTTTCCTGGACACCTGCATTCTCCACGTGGGTGGGGGCCCTCCTGGGTTCTCAGGGTGGGGGTTGGGGGTGTCCCAGATGCCTGGGTCCCCTGACCACCCCCCCACCCACCTCGCAGCCAGACGACCCGACCGTGGGCCCCAAGATCCCACAGGCGCTGGAGAAGATCCTGCAGCTGAAGGAGATCCGGCAGGAGGAGCTGATCACCGTGCCCGGGCTTTCGGGTGAGCCCACCCAGCACCCATGGGTGCCCCTGGTTGGGGGGGGAGCAGCACCCAGACCCCACACACACACTCACTTGTGTCCCTGCAGCAGAGGATGAGATGGAGACGGAGCCACGGGCGTCAGCATCGGCCTCAGAGGCGGAAGAAGACGCCGGGCTCTCCAAAAAGGAGGTGGGAATGGGTGCCACCCACAGTGTCACCCAGGGTGGGGGGGTGGGAAACGGGGCTCGGAGAGTCCCTGGGGGGGCGGATCCTGCTCAGAAGCACCCTGGGGGTCTAGAGGGGTCTCCGCGGGGGGGGCATAGGGTGCCCTTTCCTACCCAGGAGGTCTTTTGTGGGGGGGAGGTTCTGCTTTGCAGGGGGGGGGATTGATCCTGCTGGGGGGTCCCCAGCGTGCCCATTCCCACCCAGGACCTCTCTCGGGTGCCCATACTTGCTGGGGGGGGGGGGGCATGGCACATGGATCATGTCTGGAGTCAGGGTGTATCCCTAGGCCATCCTCGGGTCATTCACATCACTGTTGTGTCTTTTTGTATGTGTGTGTCCCCCCAGCGCAACCGCAAGCGCCGCAACCGCAAGAAGAAGAAACGGGGGCGGGGGGCGGTGCGGGAAGGGGCCCCCACCCAAACCCGGGGGGACCCGGAGACCCCAGGAGACACCCCCGCTGTGGAAATCGAATATGTCACCGAGGAGCCCGAGATCTACGACCCCAATTTTGTGTTTTTTAAGAGAATTTTTGAGGCTTTTAAGGTATTTATGGGGGTGGGGGGCACCGAGTGGGTGCTGGGGGGTGGCAGCACCTTGGGGGAGATCTCTAAATGTCACGCAGCTGCGCTCTTAGGTGACAGATTTTGGGTTTTAGGGGAATTTTTGATACCTTTAAAGTGGTATCTGGGATGGGTGGGAGGCACCCAGTGGGTACTGGGGGCGGGGGGGGTGGCAGCACCTTAGGGTGCCCCTGAGCACCCCCCTGTGCCCCCCCCAGCTGACAGATGACGTCAAGAAGGACAAAGAGAAAGAACCAGACAAGGCGGACAGGGCAGAAAGTGCCACCGTCCCCAAGAAGAAAGGTTTCGAGGACGGGCACAAGGGCAGCGAGGATGACAGCTCCGAGGACGAGCAGGTCGTGGGGGGGACACGGACATGATGCTGCAGTGACACAGAGGGGGTGGCATCTCCAGGGTGGGGGACAGGGATGAGGGGTGGCAGCGGGTGACGTCTGCTTGGGGACATCGCTGGGGCGATTGGGGGCGTGGTGTTGGGGGGAGTGACAAGAGGCAGGTCTGGGGTGGGGACAGTCCCGGAGGTGGCCGTGGGGGTGTGGGGACAGTCCCTGGGGGGACACACACGGGTGGCAGGAGGGACTCTGGGGTGGGGGACGGTGGCTGGGTGCCATCAGGGCCTGGCAGCAGCCAGGTGCCAGCCCGTGGGTGCCCCCGCAGGAGAAGAAGCCGGAGGTGCCGAAGCTCTCCAAGAAGAAGCTGCGGCGCATGAACCGCTTCACCGTGGCCGAGCTGAAGCAGGTGACAACTCCTGGGGATGTGTCCTTGTCCTTGTCCCCATCCCTACCCCGTCCCCTGTGCCCAGGTAGTCTCCTGTGCCACCTGGGGGTGCCTTGGGTTCACTTTGAGAGCCCTTTGGGGACACCAGTGCCACCCTGGGTGCCATGTGCTTGCCCAGGGGTCGCCTTGGGGACCCTAGTGCCACCCTGGGGTGGCCTGTGCCAAACCATGAAGCTCACTGGGGACACTGGTGCCACCATGGGGCACCCTGCAGCTGCCTTGGGTGCCCACTGGGGACACCGGTGCCACCCTGGGGTGCTTGCATTCCAACCAAGTAGTTCTCCGGGGCCACTGGTGCCACCTGGGGTCCCCTGATGTTCCTCTTGTCACCCCACCAGAGCCCCTGGTGCCACCTTGGGGTCCCCATGCCACACCCATGTAGCTTTCTGGGGACTCTGATGCCACCCTGGGGTGCCCTTTGGCTGCCTTGGGAGCCCACTGGGTACACAGGTGCCACCCTAGGGTGCTCTATATTCCCGTTGAGACCGTACTGGAGATACAAGTGCCACCCTGGGATACTCTGTACCCAACCACAAAGCTCGCTGGGGCCACTGGTGTCACCTTGAGACCCCTGATGTTCCCCTTGTTGCCCCGCCAGGGTCCCTAATGCCACCCCGGGGTGCTCTACTCCTCCTCCTCCCCCTACCACCACCTCCTTAACCCAATTGTCCCCTCTTTTGTCCCCGCAGCTGGTGGCCCGCCCAGACGTGGTGGAGATGCACGATGTGACAGCACAGGATCCCAAGCTCTTGGTGCACCTCAAGGCCACCCGCAACTCGGTGCCCGTGCCGCGGCACTGGTGCTTCAAGCGGAAGTACCTGCAGGGTAAGAGGGGCATCGAGAAGCCGCCGTTCGAGCTGCCCGACTTCATCAAGCGCACCGGCATCCAGGAGATGCGCGAGGCCCTGCAGGAGAAGGTGGATGTCTGCAGTGGTGTCGCCTAGGAGGGGACGGTGGGAACGAGGGAGTGGGGGGGAGAGGAGGGTAAGGGGGGCTGGGTGCCCATCTGGGGCTTTGGGGACGTCATGGTTGCATATCTGGAGCTTTGGGGATGTTGTAGGTGCCCATGTGGAGATTTGGGGACATCATGGTTGGATATTTGGGGCTTTGGGGACAACATGGTTGGATAGCTGGGGCTTTGGGCATGTCGTAGGTGCCCATTTGGGTCTTCAGGGATGTGGTGGTTGGACAGCTGGGGCTTCGGGGACGTCATGTTTGGATGTCAGGGGCTCTGGGGACATTGTAGGTGCCCGTTTGGGGCTTTGGGGGACGTCACGGTTGGACGTTTGGGGCTTTGGGGACATTGTAGGTGCCTATCTGGGGCGTTGAGGGTGGCTCCAGGTGCCCCTTGGTCTATCATGAGGAACCTCTGGGTCCTCCTCCAGACTTTTGAGCACCTTATAGGTATCCCCAGAAGTGTTGGGGACACTCTGGGTGTCCCCAACCTCCCATATCCCCCCTCCCAGGAGGAGCAGAAGACAATGAAGTCGAAGATGAGGGAGAAGGTTCGTCCCAAAATGGGGAAGATCGACATCGATTACCAGAAGCTGCACGACGCCTTCTTCAAGTGGCAGACCAAGCCCAAACTCACCATCCACGGGGACCTCTACTACGAGGTAGGCACCCCCTCACCCATGGGTGCTTCTTCCCACACCCATAGGTGCCCCCCAACAGGCTCATGTCTCCTCCAGCCTGGCGTTGGGCTGGGGAGGTGTCACCAGGAGCCAGTGTCACCACCCCACCAGGAGTTGTCACCTTAGGGTGTCATCATGCCCCCACTCGCCAGCACCCTGGCAGGGGCTTGTCACCCGCCTGGCACCCAGGTGGGGTCCCATCCCTGCCACCCTGTCCCTCAGGGACATCCCATGTCCCTCAAGGTTGTCCCCATGTCCCCCCGATGGTGCCACCCTGTCTCTGTAGCGATGTCCCCATGTCCCTCAGGGTTGTCCCCATGTCTCCGTAGCAGTGTTGCCATGGCCTTCAAGTGCGTCCCCATGTTCTCCATGATGGTGCCACCAAGTCCCTCTAGCAGGGTGTCCCTATGTCCCCCAAAGGTGTCCCCGCATCCCTCAAACAGCATCCCCCATTCCTCAAGGTTGTCCACCGTCCTTCTAGCGGTATCCCCGTGTCCCTCAGGGATGTCCCCGTGTCCTTCAAGGTTGTCCCCATGTCCCCCCCCGATGGTGCGTACCCCTGTCCCTCAGGGTTGTCCCCTTGTCCTTGTAGCACTGTCCCCCTGTCCTTCGGGGTTGTCCCTGTGCCACCCTGAGCCTTTGTGTCCCCCTGACAACGTCCCCGTCCTCCTCTGCCCTCCCCCCCCCCCCCCCCGATGTCCCCTCCCTGGTGTCCTGTGTGTCCCCCCCGGCCCTGGTGACACCCCGTCCTTGTCCCCGTCCCCAGGGGAAGGAGTTCGAGACGCGGCTGAAGGAGAAGAAGCCGGGCGACCTCTCGGACGAGCTGCGCATCGCCCTGGGCATGCCTGTGGGGCCGGTGAGCAGGGGCACCTGTGGGTGCTGGGGGGGGC